TCAATTGTCACAGTTGCGCAAAGAGCTGGCTACATCAAGCAAAATTGTCTGGAACTGCCTGTCGTCATAGGTCGTGTGAAGTCGTTAGAGCTTCCTACATGGTAGCCCCTGGAGATAGTGCAGCGTCTACAACACCATTGAGACTCGTCCGCTGCGGCGCTGGGGGTGTGGCATACACACGATACAATGTCTCGCCCCTTAATGTGCCCTATCCAGGTTGTTTCTTGACCTAACACCGGCACATACACTATCAGGAGAGAACTCGGATTCATCCTTTGGGGAAATCTTAGAAACCATTTTTTTCCTCGGAACTGACTCGTGATAGTGCGTGACTTGCCACTACGTCACATCCGCCCGGCTTTACGAACAGCTGAAACAACGTGCTATCTATCTATTAGTAGTCTATCTGACACATGGGGAGTGGTTTTGCGCATAAGAAGTCTCCCAGTCGAGAAGAAACCCTGGCTGAACCCTACAGTTAATCACTTCACGTTCATAACATAGCTTTTACCTTTTTGTGAAATGTCATCGCTAAGAAACATGTATTTGACGACGTAACGGAGGTTGGAGGTAAAAATCTGTGTGAGCGGTTGAGCGTCGGTTTGAAGTTGTTCGCTTTGACAGAGTTCCTCACAAGGAATGTTGGTGAAGACGAATACTACACCTGCTTCACGATCGTCCATTGGATAGTCGTTGGCGCATGAGTACTGAAAATACATCATAAACATGAAACTAGGCAGTTCATTCATTGAATAGAGCTTGGGCGAATCGAAATCCTCATCATATCCACCCTGATGAAAGTTTCCTGCAAATTTTCCCAATTACATAATATGCTTGCATGTCTGTTCTTCTTCACCATCGTCCTCCCTCTTCTCTCTATCATCTTGCAAAACATGAAGCAAAGCGATTCACCGTACTCACCGCCTGTTCGAGTAGTAGTCCAAGTTGATCGCCTGTTGGTGTACCGGGTAATGGATATGTGCCAGATATGGAGAGATTTTCCATAAGAGTCTGCTCTTGATTTGTCATCATCTAAACAGGTGGGCATGGTGAAAGCATAGTGTGAAGTTAAAAGACGGGCGTAATGGTAAATAAATAATGAATGGGAAAGTGTTTCAAAAGAGGAATGAATGACAGGAAAAGTCATTGGTATTCATCAAGCAATTCGAAATGTCCGAACATTCGTTTTCCCTTCAGAAGTTCATAGGTAATCTAGGTTCGCTCGATTCTGCTTGAACTTGGCGATGCTAAAATTAGCGCTACAAACGATCCCCAATGGATTTTGAGTGCTTACTGCGCTATGCAGGCTCATTGGCGCAGCCCTTATCGATTACTGTGATTTTCTTTGCTTAATTTTTAATCATTAATTACTCGATGGAGCGGAGGTGATGAAGTGGGCCACTAGCACATGGTCACAGGCTCGATCACCTGGTCGATATCCGCCTAGACCAAAGCCCTTCCATCCCTTCGGGGCCGTCGATTGGTAGCAAACTCGTCTGGGAGGATAAAAGCACCGACTTGCTCATCGACTGGCTACCGCAACTCGTTGTATAGTCCGCATATGCATTCAACAAGTCACTACGATTCTGAATGGAGGTCGTATGCGCATTCCTTAGACGGGATTGATTAACGCCCCTGGACTTTATCCTTTTGATTACTTTGATTAATCGATTTTCAATTCAACTAGTCCACTCATTTCATAATTTTTCTACATTTTTTTAAAAAATAACTGCACTGGTTAATTTCAAGAAATATCCTACAAGAGAAAAAAATCGTGCCTGCAAAGCATTACAGAAAAATGGGCCCGAGTTTTCCAAAAATAAGCCGAAGTGATTTTCTTGAGGAACAATAGGAAAATTTCTTTGAAATCTCAACCTTCGCTTCCGGGCAGTTGATGTTGCTTATCGTGCGTCCGTTATCGAAGATTTGCAGCGTACTACGACTGTCACAAGCTTTCGTCACCTTAAAGTATATGTTATTTTTTCATTTCAATTAATTGAGAAAGGGAATATGAAGTTGTGTTCCGATCCA